GCCCAGTAGTGGGATTACTGGGTCATATGGTAGTTCTATTTTTAGTTTTTTGAGGAACCTCCATACTGTTTTCCATAGTGGCTACACAAGTTTACATTCCCACCAACAGTGCAGGAGGGTCCCCTTTTCTCCATGTCCCCTCAAACATTTGTTATTTGTAGACTTTTAAATTCTACATTCTATCAGGTTTGAGGTGATATCTCATTGGGCTTTTGAGTTGCATTTTTCTAATAATTGGCGATGTTGAGAATCTTTTCACTTGCCTGTTAGCCATTTTGTATGACTTCTTTGGGAAAATGTCTATTCAGGTCTTCTGACCAATTTTTGACTGGCCTGTTTGTTTTTTGATATTGATTTCTATGTGCTGTTTATATGTTTTGGATATAAACCCCCTGTTGGTCATTTGCAAGTATTTTCTCCCATTCCATGGGTTGTCTTTTAGTTTTGTCAATGGTTTCCGTTGCTGTGCAAAAGTGTTTAAGTTGAAATAGGTCCCATTTGTTTATTTTTGCTTTTTGCTTTAGCTTTGTGAGACAGATAAAGATAAAATACTGCTATAAATTATGTCAAAGAGTGTTCTGCCTAGGTTATCTTCTTAGAGTTTTAAGGTTTTGGGTCTTACCTTTAGATCTTTAATCCATTTTGTGTATGGTGTGAGGAAGTATTCTAATTTCATTCTTTCACATGTAGATGTCCAGTTTTCCCAGCACCAGTCTTTTTGAGCCCCATTCTGCCACATCTCTCTGACTTCACCTGGAGAATATTCTGTTTTTAAGGGCTCATGAGATTAGATTGGACCCACCCAGATAATCTAGGATAGTGTCCCTACTTGAAGGTCCATCACCTTAATGACTTTTGCAACTTACCTTCTACCATGTAACATACATATCCACAAATTCCAGGGATTAGAGTGAGGGCATCTTTGAAGGTCCATTCTGCCTACCACCAAAGCACTGGTATGGGACGTTAGGGAAGGGAAGCAAGCCAACACATGTGAGTCTGTGAGCTGGTTACTGCTCCTGTAAGATAAAACTAAATCCCACAAGCAGCTCTTGGAAATGCTATAGAATAGGGTACAGCAAACATTTTATGTAAAGAATGAAATAGTTTCAGCTTTGCTGAAATAGTGTGCCATATGGTCTCTGTTGCAACCGTTACCAAGCAGGGTTCTTGGTCTCCTTAATCAATAGAAATTGGTCAGAGGCCAGACAAGAAATTCAGGCAAGGCTTTATTGGGGCCCCTGCTGCAAGCAGTGGTGGGGGAGTGAAAATAATCAACAGTTTCCCTTGCTGGCTCGCTTCCTGAGGTGGGGGGCGGGGGCAAGCTTGTTCCGTATATGGGGTGAGGGTAGGGGTGTGTCCAGGGGTCAGGCCAGAACAGTTGCTTAGGTGGTTTGCTCACCCCTTAGGTGGTGTTGTGTGCAGGGGTCATGCACAATACCCTGCTTTTGCTCCAGGCTCTTCAAAAGCGGCAGTTGGGTGTTTCTTTTTTTGGGTCTTTTTGTATCTTTTGTCCAGAATTTGTCCCAACTCAGCATGCATGCAGTTATTTTCAGTCCCATACAGCTTCTTTGTATTTTGTTGCTCGAAGAGAGATTTGTCCAAGTGGAAGCACTGCAGCACTGCAGCAAAGGGTCCCAGGTCCCAGCAAAGGGTCCCAGGTCCCAGCCTGTCTCACAGCTATTCAACTACCTTCATATCTATCTATTTACCCTCCAAACACTCTATCACAATAATTGAATATGCACAGCTCTGATAAAAGCCAGTCCCTTTTTTTACGTACCAGATCCTCTCCTCTCCAGTTTACTCCATGATTTTGTTCTTAAGTCTTCATTATATCCAACATCATCATCTTTCCCCCATTTCTTTATTTCAAAAAATCTGTAGACAATATGTAGTGTCTCCCCCAAATAAAATCCCTTCTTTGATCATAAATTGCACCTCATAATCCCCAAAAGGTTGTCTATGTTTACCATCTTCATTTTATCACTTCCCATAGAGTTTATCAAGTTCCTTAAAAAATGATCTAAAATATAGATTGGGATTTTACTGAACTTATAGATCTCTTCTGGAAAAATTAGAAATTTTATAATAGGCATCCATTTTCTTAGTGCTGATATACAGATACTAGTGTTTTCCAAGACTGATCATCCTGATGAATTTTTTAATGTTGTTGTTCTAATTGTATACTGATTCTGTTGATTTAAGTAGGTAGTTAATTATAATTTCTGCAAATGAGGGCAATTCTTTTTCCTCTTCAAATCTTTCCTCCTTTTTATTTCCATCAAAATAATAGTCAAAGCTGCCAGTTCTTTGTTATATTTTTAAGCAAGATTTTAGACATCTTTGCCTTGGCAATAGATACTACAACAACAAAAACAAAAGTAGTATTATATTTTATAAAATATTTCATAGTCTTCATAAATATTTAAAATTTCCCTCTAATTCCCTTGAGTAAATATTTCATTATCATGAGATTTACCACCTTCTGGAGTCTTGTATCATTTGGACAAATCTGTGATATCTCTTCAGGCACAACATACCTTTCCAACTTTTGATGTGGAACTGAGTATAAAGAATAAGAAATTCACCATGTCTTGTAAACAACCTCACAAATGTATGTGTGAAATTAATTCAAAAGAAAAACAAGGCTTACACTGCTTCATGATTCATTATGCATGTAGCTCTTGGACAGGAACACTTGTGGATGTCATCATACGTTAATCTTAATTTAAGGCCAAATAATTGAGCTATAATAACTAAAAATCCCTCCAATGTTATTGCACCTGGATACTAAAATAAAGAAGATTGAAGAGAACACCATTATGTAAGAAGAAAACAAAAGCAAGTAATGTATTAAAACAGTTTTGATCCTATAAAATTTTATACTTTAGTACTTTATGTTGAGCACATATTACACTTTATTTTGATAAATCTTTGATACAAATATCCATACTACTTAATTGATTAAGAAGCATGAAACAATGGAAAAAAGTAATTAAACTACCAGCGTTCTCTGGTGAAAAATTTGGCATGCCCAAATTCCATAGCCTTAAACACACTTAGTATTTCTGATGAAATCAATATAAAACATTTATTTAACTTTCTTATTAAATCAAATCATTCAATTTGCAAAACTAATTCAATATACATACGTGTCAGGCACTACAATAGAAAATAAGAATATAGTGGCATACTGGGGACTTCCCTGGTGGTCCAGTGGTTAAGATTCAATGTTTCCACTGCAGGGGGCATGGGTTCAATCCCTTTTGGGCAACTAAGACCCCACATGCTGCATGGTGCAGCCAAAAAAAAAAAAAGAAAACAATATAGTGGCATATGTGAAAGAAAGGGACTTTGTCCACACTTGGAGCATATATTACAGAAGAGGAGAAAGAAAATTAATAGGAAATTAATGACAAACTTCCCAAATATAAAGAGATTGTGAAAAGCGCTCTGAAGAAATGGAGTGCTCGAATAGAGAATTTTGAGGAGGGGTATAACCATATAGATAAGATAGTTAGAAAAACCTATTTGTGGAATTGATGTTTAGGCTGAGATAGAAAGTTTGGGAAATGATCTAGCATTTTGAATAGCAGTAGGGAACTTGTATGGGAACCTGTTCAAAGCCTGTAGTATAATGAGTGAAGTGAAGGAATGACAAGATGGAAGTTCTAAATATAGGCAAGGCCATGGTAAAGAAATTTGGAGTGAGATATTACCAAAAAAAAAAAAAAAAAATTGGGGGTAGTATAGAGTGGCATTTCATATGATTTAACCTTGATAAATAAAATGATACTTTTCTCATCTTTTTAATCATTACAAGCTAAATTCTTAGAACTTCTCTAATTTTCCTATATCAATAAAAATTTATAGCGAGTAAAATTTAATTTATACCTAAAAGAAAAATATTGTGTGTATGTGTGTGCATATGTGTGAATGAAAACATGGAATATTATCTAGCACCATGGAAAAATACGTTAGTTGTTACCCTCTCCTGTTATCCTATAAGAGCTAAGCTTGAAAAAAAGGGAAAATCCCAGTATCAGAATTTGAAAGAAGGTTAAAGACAAATCAGAGCATGAGAGATGATATCTGGCTAACCACCAGGTTTTAAGGCAAGATATAGGAACCAGAAGCTGGACTTCTAGTGCTCACTCAGAGAAAGGAAAAATAGTCTTCTACTTTCATATTTATATAGTTGAAAATAAATCCCCTGTATAAAGACATGCTATCGGATAAAACAAGTCCTTAGTTATACTGTGCAGGAAGAGAAGACAGAAGACCTAAATGTAAGAACTGAAGCCATAAAAGTCCTACAAGGGAACATAGGCAGAAAACATCGACATAAATTGTACCAATTTTTTTTGTGGGGGGGATCAGTCTCCTAAGGCAAAATAAATAAAACCAAAAGTAAACAAGTGGCATCTAATTAAACTTAAAAGGTTTTATACAGCAAAGGAAACCATCAACAAAACAAAAAGACAACATGTGGTCTGGGAGAAAATATTTGCAAACAATGAGACCAACAATGGCTTAATATCAAAAATATACAAACAGCTCATACAATTCGAAATTCACAAAATAACCCATTAATAAGTAGGAAGAAGACATAAATTGTTGTTTTTCCAAAGAAGATACACAGATGTCCAACAGGCACATGAACAGATGTTCAACCTCACTAATTGTTAGGGAAATGAGGCAAATCAAAACTGGAATGAGGAATCGCCTTATGCCTTTCATTTTTTTGTTGTTGTTCTTGTGGTAGAATATGAGGAAATATGCACTTTTTTTTTTTTTTTTTTTGCGGTATGCGGGCCTCTCACTGTTGTGGCCTCTCCCGTTGCGGAGCACAGGCTCCGGACGCGCAGGCTCAGCGGCCATGGCTCACGGGCCCAGCCGCTCCGCGACATGTGGGATCTTCCCGGACCGGGGCACGCACCCGTGTCCCCTGCATCGGCAGGCGGACTCTCAACCACTGCGCCACCAGGGAAGCCCACCTTATGCCTTTTAGAATGGCTATTATCAAAAAGGCAAGAAGTAACAAGTGTTGTAGAGGGTGTGGAGAAAAGGGAGCCCTCATACACTATTTGGAGGAATTTATCTTGTGTAACCACTATGAAAACTAGTATAGAGATTCCTCAAAAAATTAAGAATGGAACTACCATGTGATCCAGCTGTTCTGCTTCTGGGTATTTATCCAAAGAAACTGAAAACATAATTCAAAAAGATATATGCACCCCTATGTTCATTACAGAATTATCTATAATAGCCCAGATAAGGAAACAACCTAAGTGACCACTGACAGATGAATGGATAAAGATGCGGTATGTATACACAATGGAATAGGAGTCGTAAAAAAGATGAAATCTTGCCATTTTTGACAATATGGTTGCACCTTGATGGTATCATGCTAAATGAAATAAGTCAGGTGGAGAAAGACAAATACTGTATGATTTCACTCATATGTGGAAAAAAATAAATTAAGAAACCAAACCAAAGCAGAACAAACACATAGGAGAGAACAGAGTAATGGTAATCAGAAGGGAAGAAGGGTGGGGGATGGAAACTAAAAATTTGGTGGTGGGCACACTGAAAGAAGTTGAAAAATGTGGTACACATGCAACTTATACAATGTTAAAAACCAATGTTACCTCAATTAAAAAAAAAGGATATTGGACTCAATTCTGCATGAGACAATAAAAAACACAATTCTTCAACTGTGTGCCTATTCTTACAATGTTAGATTATAATCTGTTGAGGAAAGGGAAGAAAATGTTGAAATGGAACCTTAGTGTATCTTGTTAACAGTTACTGTTAGAACCATAAAAAGGAAGATTTAGAAATGGGGAGGCCAGCAAGACAAACTCAGAGGGGAAAAGTGACACCACTGCAGAAGACAGAACATGTAATTGTCTTTGAATTTTCTGACAAATATCTTAAGCTACTCACACTCAAAACCTACCTCAACTTCTGCCTGCCACTCACCCACACCTTCCTTTATCCCAGTACACTCCACAGCAAGGATGTGTTATACCAATAGTTGCAAAAATAAACTCTGCTCAGGTCTAAAACTTGGACCTGCTAGGCGGTAGTACTCCTGGGAAACTGATCCTGAGAAATTATGATTAAATAAGGCAGGACAGTGATCATAATGGCCCCAAATAAGTTAGTGGCAAAGGGGATGAGGGAAAGTTATGGTAGAATCATCCCGATGTGTATTATTTTTACCACAGACTTCACCCACTTAAAGCACACAGGTGAATGATTGTAGGGTTTTTAGTGTATTCACAGATATGTGCAACCATTACCACAGTCAATTTCAGTTCCCTCATCTCAAAAACAAGTCCTCTACCCTTTAGTTATTACCATCACCCACCCCAGCTTTTCAATCCCCACCCCCACTTTCAGCAGTAAACAACCACTAATCTTAGTCTCTCTAGACGTCCATGCTCTGGATGTTTCATACAGATGCAGAATATGTGGTTTTTGTGACTGGCTTTAGTCACTTAGCATAACGGTTTCAAGGTTCATCCACGTTGTAGCAATATCAGTGCTTCCTTTTTGTGGCTGAATACTATCCCATTGTATGGACGGACCCCATCTTGTGTATCCATTCATCATTTGCTCATTTGGAGAAAGAAACTCTTGGTCTTTGTGATGAGATGCTCCCACCCCTGACCCAGGATCACCTTCATTTATATGGATGGAAATTCTGTAGGTCCTAATTAGACTCCAGATAGGCTGATGGATCTCTAATCCACAAATAATGCTTTGAGGTGTGCAGAAGTGAACCCATCTCAGGAAGAGGGAGATGAAGAGAGGGGGCACTGAAGCAAGAAACTGTCACCCAGAAAAGCTCAGCTTCAGTCAGGAAAGAGCAGCAAGTCTGGGTTCCTTCAAAGGACAGAGATAGATATATTCTAGAGCTCAATTTCCACGAGGGCAGGGAAGTATCACCTGGAGACAGAACAGTTATCTATGACCAGGAACTCAGGGTGAGCAATTCCTTGAAGATAAAATGGATGCTAGTGACTGAGGGCTCTGGGGCTGACCTTGTGTAGCAACACTTCCTCTCAATATCCCGAAGCTTGGAATGGGTAGGGGATGAGAATCATGAACTATTGCAGAGGTGCAGATTCTAGGTGTCCTCTCTTGAGATGGGAGCGATTAGTAGGGCCATGGGTATCTGAGGGCAGTCGGCGGCAGGAGTGCACAATGGAAAGTTTTCCGTTGGGATGCAACAGCCTTGCAGGTTCAAAAGAGGCCAACTTGCCTATTTCCTACTAGAGGACCATAGTACAAGGACTGAAACTGAGCAGGATCCTGTGGAGCCCTCCTGGGCACAAAAGGCTTTCTGTGTCCCCAGCTTCCAGTTTGTCGGAAAAAAGGCTTTCAGCTTCCTAGACCTTCCCTGAGTTCCAAAGGGCGTATTCAAACAGTTACTAATCAGGGAAGTGAGGGAAGGCAGGAAGAAACGACAGTGCAGCATGGGGCCTGGTGCTGTTCGTCTTCGGGGATGTGCAGAACCATCTGACGCGTATGTCTGAGTTCTTCAACAGGGACTAGGGCCCCCTCAACCCAGATGCAGGAAGTCACTTCAGGCTGAGCACAAGCATGTGGACCCACACTGGCAGGAAAGGCTGATGACTGAGATTCCTGGAACAGCACCCTGTTACCTCACCACCAACCAATCAGGGGAAGGTTCCATACCCTGCAGCCCTTGCCCCAAATTTTGCCTATAAACACTCTTCCCCAAGAGCCATCAGGGAATTGGCATTTTTGAGCATGAGCTGTCCGTTCTCCTTGGTTGGTCCTTGCAATAAACCTTTCTCTGCTCCAAACACTGACGTTTCCCTTTGTTTGGCCTCAGTGTGCATCGGGCACACAAACTTGGGCTCGAGAACAGAATGAATCGACACAACGCGACATACTTTCACTCACAGGATTTACTTTTGTTTTTGAAATTGAAAGCTTTAAGCCGTCACAAAAGGAGAGAAAAGCAGATTTTTTTATTCTTGAACCAGGCCAGTTAATGGTGTGTTTCTTGGCAATATCTTTTCCCCAAATTATGGCTTTTGACAGTATTGTTTAGTTACCATTCTAAAAGAAATACAGAAAAAAGAAATGCTACATTTTTAATGGTTAATAAAAGCTGTCTAATTTTACTACAAAGCTATAGGTATATCAATTAATATAAGACAGTTGATATTGTCACAATCTATACCTGTGCTCTACAGAATTTGTAAACTCAAGTTTTTTTTGTTTCTTTGGTTTGATATTTTCCAGAAACATTTGTGATAGCCACATTAAAAGGAAATGCTATAAACTGCTATTTATATATGTCTCATTTACACGGACTCTATGTTTCACATGGGTCAAAGAAAGTCATGAACAAGGAAACAGAGAGAAAAAGAGCAATACAATATGTGAAGAAGGAAATAATTGCTCTTTTCTCTATTTTTACCTACAGAGGAGGAGAACTCCCAACAGTCCTCTGTGCGTTTCCAACAGGTGTCCCACACACACATGTTCAGAACAAACTCCTTCTTTACTCCCCTCCGCTTCATGGCTCCAAAACCAAGCTGGTTCTCAGCTGCTGTACAACACGCCATTAGTAAAAGCTGTCATTATCCACAGTGTCAGAAATGTTTGTCTTTGTAGTTCTCTTTTATTCTAACCCAAATACATCCATCCAGTCACCACTTCAACCAAGTCTACCCCTGTTAGGTCTCTGAAAACTGTGTTGTTCTTTCCGTCTTAACCAATCCTGCCCTCATCACACTTTTCCTGTGCATTCCATTTCACTAGTCTCCAGTTCTGACTGAATCTGACTGAATTTCTCCTAATTTATCCCTGTGAATTTTGTAAAAAGCACACCATAACTTGCTAAATCCCTCCCTTACCACGTCAAAAATACTTCAACTACGTTCCATTCATCTATGAGGAAATGTAACCTTTTAATCGTGGCATATCAGACACTGGTCCTGGCTCAAAGTTACCTAGGCAGATTTTCTCCTTCAACATCCGTACATTTTAAAATAAATTTTTAAATATATTAAGAGCACAAATTTAGACACAGAGAGGTCTGGCTTTACATGGTAGCCTCGCTATCTTCCTGCTGTATAGCAATGAACATCATTTAAGTACTTCTTCTTACACTCTATAGCCAAACTATCAATTCATTCTGTTGGTTCACCTTCAAAATTTATTCCTAAGACCATCTTTACTATCCTTGGTCTGAGGTAACATCCTTTCTCTCCTGGATTAGTCCTGACATTTTATTTTTCATTGTATCATTCATGTGCTTGAAAAGCTTCTGCCCAGGTATATGCATGTGTTGCTCTGCCAGCTCTATGTCTGTCTAAGACAGACTTGGTTTACAGCTGCAACAGTAAAGCTCTCTCTTTAGCTGTGGGAAAGCCTGAATATCTGGTTTCACTTTTTGCTGAGATAAGGGCAGTGGGATTTATGATGGGCTTTTTAAAACTTAAAATAAGGAACCTTGAGACCTTGTGCCTGAGGCGTCTCTCTGACCCACAGTGCTTGCCTGCACCCTCTCTTGCTGTACTGTATCCTTTGCATTTAGATAGAAGCCTTCTGTGAGCTGATGGTGATGTCAGGTGACTCCTTTCAAATATTTAAACTGGGTCATTATTTGCGCCTCCTCCAATTCCTTGCTGACACATCACTTGCTCCCTAGGGCCTACTCAGTCAGCCACATTTAAAGTTGCCACCCAGGGCTTCCCTGTGGCGCAGTGGTTGAGAGTCCACCTGCCGATGCAGGGGACACGGGGTCGTGCCCTGGTCCGGGAAGATCCCACATGCCGCGGAGCAGCTGGGCCCGTGAGCCATGGCCGCTGGGCCTGCGCGTCCGGAGCCTGTGCTCCACAACGGGAGAGGCCACAACAGTGAGAGGCCCGCATACCGCAAAAAATATAAAAAAAAAAAAAATAAAGTTGCCACCCAGTTCCTCCTTCAGTGTCAACTGCCCAGTTAGCCCCACTTCTCTCATCTTTCCCATAAAGAATCACCTTTCAGTACCCTTTATAACCAACTTATAAAATATGTTTCTCGAATGAATGTGTCCAATTCTTGAGGCAAGACCTTAATATAACCATAAAGTACTGGTGGCAGGAAAAGACTGTGAAAAACAGACAGAAGTGTAAAAGAAAGCAAGATATTGCATTTACGAATTAAGACTTGGAGAAAGCCGGGGAGACACGTGCTCACTGTACCGCTCTAGGAGAAAATGACTGAAGTTGTGTGGAGGTGAGAAGTTCAGGTGAAGACACCCAGCATGATGAAGGAACTATGACAGAGGACATAAGAAGAAGACAGCCGAGGGCCAGAATCTTCACCTAAGATGCGGGCCTTTAGTAAAGTGATCAGAGAAGAGGGAGAGGGTGGTCTAGGCAGAAATAAGACTACTTTACATTGAGGACAGGAGTCATAAATGATTTGCTTGGTGGCCGATAAGGAAACAGAGACCCACTGACTTTTTTCTCCATCAAAGTCAGATGTGGCAGGTAAGTAAAGAGATGAACTTGGGATCTCACACTTAGATGAGTTTTTGATTGTTTTCCCAGGGATAAGTCTAATATGTCAAATATCACGATTTCTTTACACATATAAGTTAGAAATTTGAACGACATATACAGAAGCCTCGTTTATCCCATCTGACGGTAAAGAATTGTTCTTCTGCCTTGGAGGGTGAGTGCATTTAGCATTTGCCTGGCATCCTCTAGGTCCTCAATAAGTGTAAATTCCATTCCCTATTGCCAGTCTTGTATCAGAAAATATGTGGCAAAATTGCAGAGTTCTTAAGAGCTTCAACCTTAGTGTCTGGTTGTCAAACTCAAACTCAAAAAACTCACTAAAATTCTATACATGTGGGGAATTATTTACATTCTTTATGTCTGTTTCCTTATTTCTAAAATAAGGAGAACACAATGTTCTGTGGCAGCCTGGATGCGAGCGGAGCTTGGGGGAGAATGGATATATGTATACGTGTGGCTGAGTTGCTTTGCTGTGCACCTGAAACTATCACAACGTTGTTCATCGGCTATACTCCAATACAAAATGAAAAAGTTTAAAAAATATAAAATAAGGAGAACAATAACCTGGGAGTTATTGTTAGTGAGGAATAAATACAAGTGTTGGGAGACAACCTGTGTAAACCTCTTAGTTAGAACATTAAATCTACCAATCAAATGCATGATTGCACATAAATATTTTAAGAAAATATTAAAAATCCCTTTGAAGTCATTTCTTTTTACAAAGATATTGGTTAATAAATCTGTGGCTAATGTGAGTTAACATTAAATGTTTCTAGATAAGTATAAAATAAAATTCACATCAAATGGTTTGTTTTAGTCTTTGTTTTAGTATATGATAGCAACAAATAGAAATCAAAATGATGAAATACGGGAATAATATCTTCCTTATACTGAGGTACTGTTAAAAATATTGTTTTAAGTATTTAATGAATTATATCATTTTGTCAATAGTTTGATTCTTTTACTTCACCTTTCATTGTAAGACTGGTTGCTGTTACTGTTCCTACTGCTGTCTTCTGATAGAGATCTGTTTAAAGAAACAGAATTATTTTTAAGGTTAGGAAACACTGTAATCTTAAAGTCAAGAAAAGTAATGAAGCTAGATTTGTCGTAATTACTCAATTAATATGTACCAATATCCACTTTGCTTTCTATATGCCACTCAGGGATCATATATTGTAGTGCTTGTTTTTTTTCCTAAGGTTAGCCTAACTTTTAAATATGTTAAGCATTTTTAAAATTTCAAACTAAAAATCCATCTATTACTTTTCTCTATTTTGTCTACATGGAAGACTGGATGAAATATTAAAATATCTATGATAATGCTTCTCCCAAGTTAAATAGATAATTTACATGTAAATTCTTAAATTATCATAACTTCAGTTATATGATTTCTATCAAATACCTACGTGAATAGTTATTATTTCACTTTGTTAATGAGATCCTTAATGAGGCCTCTCTATTAGCTATGCTTAGTTACACTTTGTGGTATTTATACAGCTTCCATTTGTTCTTTGGATCCTATACACACTCAGCTCCTGTTGAAGAGGAATGTCATGGTGTAAAGGTTCCTACTAAATGGCTACAATTCTTTGTTCACAGATGATAAAATCAGGTTTGAACACCTAACTCAGGATTATAAATCCAGACAGAACACTGGCTGAAATGAGATACACTTGCACAGTTATTTCCTTCTGTCTCTTCAGAAAATGAACTAACAGGCACTGGTTTTGGCAGATTACTGGGATTTCTACTTGAAAATGAAACTAGAAAGAGTTGAGATAGGTACTCTGGGCCATGTGTAAGCAGAGCAGTCATCTTGGAGAGAATGGACATGCACAAGAAGAGATGATGTCAACCGTAAATGCTTTGGGTGATGGAGACAATGGCCTAGCTCATAACCATCCAGTTCCTTACCACCCTTTTGTGTTTCAGCTCTACATCATTTCTTGCCATTGCAGCCCTGAAACCATCTACTGCTGCTCTAAAATTTAGGCTGTCATGAGCAGACTTTGTTCTTTATGATCAGTGGTACCTTACTCTAGCATCTCTTCCCAAAGTCAGGTCGAGTTCTTGCAACTATTCAGATTTGTCCAAGATGTCTTAAGTAAGAGCACAGGAAGACATGCCAGATATCATTCAATTAAGTCAGTTTATAACAGTTGAATGATTGATGAGTCATGCAGAAGACTACCCTGAATTACCTGGTCGCTGCTAACTTGTTCATACATAAGATTAACTAACTTGGGAAGTGGAGGTGTTGATTGAAATTTTACATCATTATTTTGTTTCTGGCTACACAAATGAGAAACAAAAATGATTTCCTTTACAATGAAGAAACGAGACCCACCTCCTTACCCTTGCTTCTGCATTCTCATTTTCCTAAGTATTCACTAAGCAAATTGTGGCTTGTATTGTTGTTACAGTAAAGAAAAAAAGCAGTATGAAAGTGAAGTAAGTCAGACAGAGAAAGACAAAGTGTGATCCCACTTATATGAGGAATCTACAAAAAAACCCACCCTTACAGATACAGAGAACAGATTGGTGGTTGCCAGAAAAATGGGATGAGGGGGCGGTGAGCAAAATGGATAAGAGGGTCAAAAGGTACAAACTTCCAGTTGTAAAAAAAACAAGTCATGGGGATATAATGTACAGCATGGCGACTATAGTTAAAATAAGGAATTACACTCTTGAAACTTGCTAAAAGAGTACATCTTGAAAGTCCTCATCAGGAGAAAACCAAATTTTTGTTAACTATGTACGGTGACAAATATTAACTAGACTCATTGTGGTGATCATTTTGCAATATATACAAATATCAAAGCATTATGCTGTAAACACGAAACTAATATAATGTCATATGTTAATTATACCTCATTAAAAACAAGACCTAATCAAGCTCTGCTCTGCAAAAAAAAAAAACAAGAAAAACAAAAAAAAAAACGGAAAAGCTGCTCAAGTGCCTTAATTCTAATTTTAGAAACACATGAGTGATATTGATTATGTGTAAAATGGGCAGTATCCTATGTGTGTTTTCTCCCTCATTCTTTGCCATCTTATATTTTCTCAGTTTCCCCGTATTCTATACTTCCCTGTCTCTATTAATCTTCACCTTCTTTATTCTATGCTGCTCTGTCTCTGTTAATCTTCTTGGCACAAGTGAATGTCAGTGCAAGGAAACAGGGTTGCTTGGGAAGTAGACAGACCTTCTAAAGCAGTTACAGCCAACATGGCTTGCTATTCGAAAGGTACTGAGGATTTACTGAGTTACTTCAGTTGTTCCTGGGCCTATATAAACATGAAACTTACCCACCTGCCTGAAATCTGAAAAAAATTTGGTATGTTTCTGAACATTTACCCAATCCATCCAAGAGTCCCTACTTATAATATTCTGAATAATATTTGAATTTTCTCCTAAATAATTTTAAATATTAAAGATAATGAGTTTACTCACCCTTCACTTACTGTACCCTCTCTGTTCCAAAATATCTTCATTTTATTCCATTTAAGAGCAATGATGAGAATTAAAATGAGGAAAGGCAGGAAAACGTAGAAACTGATCACAAGGCCGTTTTTTCGAGAAGCACCATGTCGTTTTACCAACATGTCTGTACTTTTACCTGAAAACATAAGAGTACCTTTTAACTTTTTCAAAAATGGTATTCAAAGCATATTAATAATTTGAATTATAAAACTTTGGAATTCAAATAATATAATCATAGAGTTAATAAACTTAAATTTAAAAGTGTTTTCCAATATTCTGTGACTATGCCCCAAAGTGCATTATATATTTCTGTCAAATATATATATATAAAATTTATTTTTAACCTTTGTATGTATATTTAATATTTATTTATGTGCTACTTTCTAGTATTTTATTCTATCATATTCCCTTCTATGAACTGCTACTTAGAACACATTAGATTGATATTTTCATCTAATACGTTCTTCCATTTTAAATATAGAGCAAAAAAAGAAAAGAACTATTTTAAAAATTATTTATGGAAAATTATTGATATAACTGAGGCTAATTTTAAAAAAACAATAGTAGACTAGGTTAATTTACATAATAGATGTATAAAGTGATATTGTTTTAATTTTGACTATACTAATTAGAAAAATAGATATTCCTCTTGGCATTATAAAGACATTACATAAAACTAGAAAACTAAATCTATGGAAACTTGGTCCAGTTAAGCAAAAGAAATAAACCAGACAATTAAAATACAAAAAACTATATCAAGCAATCAGAATTACCACCAAAGCAACTACTGAGGATATTAAGTGTAAATGAATTTAATGCCCCCTCAAAAAGACAAAAGGATCGGTGATGTTGAAACACACACACAGTCCAATTATATGTTGATTAGAAGTAATTTCCTTAAAGTGATTTAGGAAGTTTTATGTATTATAAGAAATAAATTAGCAAATATATGCAAAAATATTGAAACTAATCAAACATGCAGCAGTCTCACGCTATGGTAGAACTCAGCACTTTATAGCTCTCCTTTCCTGGCCTCACCCATCAGAAAAGGTCCATTCTCCTTTAATCCATCTTTACTAAAATTATCATGTTGCAAGTGGAGCTTCCTTCTCATGTGGTTAATTACTCCAAAGACTGATTAAAGAGATCACTATTAGATTAACTGGGAGATATCCATTACTCTAAGGAAGAAAGATTGGGAGCTTCTACTTGTGGGCATGATGAAATTTTTCCATTAAATGTGTCAAATAATAAAAATATGAAACAGGATAAGACATGAAGGAAATGGTTTCTGGAAGTCAACAGGAAACACAGAACTAAAATATCTGAAGAAAAGAAAACATGATGTTGATTTTATGGAAATACAATTCTACCTATGGATAATTTGCTGATCTCAGAACAGAGAGTTGGAGTCCTAAGCAAAGTACATCATTCCCATGGAGCAGAAGACAGAGCTCACAGCAGAAGAAATGGTGGGAACCTGAAGGGTGCAGCATTGGACAGAAAGCTGCTCTGAAATTAAGGATTCCAAAACTGTTAAGGGGATCCTTGCAGGTGTCCTTGGCAGAAGGATAAGGAATATATATGTGTATATATACATACATAGTATGAGACAATCTGAAGCTAATTAGACAGCAGGTCTTACTGGGGTGAGAGTGGAAAAGAGATACCAGAGTTTGAGCAGTAGTGGTAAAAAGAGCACCAAGAAGATCCCAATTTCTCCACATCCCCACTAGTACTTGTTGCCTGTGTTTTTTATTATAATAGCTATCCTAATGAGTGTGAAGTAGTATCTCGTGGTTTTGGTTTGCATTTTCCTAAGATGTTGAACATCTTTTCATGGGCTTTTTGGCCATTGGTATATCTTCTATGGAGGTGTGTTTATTTAAATCCCTTCCCTTTATTTATTTATTTATTTAGGCTGCGTTGGGTCTTCATTGCTGCACGCGGGCTTTCTCTAGTTGCGGCGAGTGGGGGCTACTCTTCGTTGTGGTGCGTGGGCTTCTCATTGCAGTTGCTTCTCTTGTTGTGGAACACAGGCTCTAGGCGCGCGGGCTTCAGTAGTTGTGGCTCACGGGCTCTAGAGCGAAGGCTCAGTAGTTGTGGTGCACGGGCTTAGTTGCTCCACGGCATGTGGGATCTTCCCGGACCAGGGCTCAAACTTATGTCCCCTGCATTGGCAGGCAGGTTCTTAAGCACTGCACCACCAGTGAAGTCCCTAAATCCCTTCCCATTTTTAATTGGGTTATTTGTCTTTTTATTATGGACTTGTAAGTGTTCTTTATATATTCTGGATACAAGTCCCCTATGAGATATAATATTTACAAATATATTCTCCCACTCTGTAGTTTGTCCTTCACTGTCTTGGTTGTTATCATTTGCAGCACAAAAGTTATCAATTTTGATGAAATTCAATCAGTCTATTGTTTCTTTCTTCACTTGTGCTTTGGTGTCTTCGATAACACAGCCTATGCCAAGGTCACAAAGATTTACTAATATGTGTTCTGGGTGTTTTATAACCTTAGCTCTTACATTTAGATCTATGATCCAATTTCAGTTAATTTTTGTGAAACTTGTGATGCAGTAATCTAACTTCGTTTGCATGTGGATATCTACTTGTCCCAACACCATTGTTTTAGAAGACCATCCTTTGTCCTTTGAATTGTTTTGACATCTTTGTCAAAAATCCATGACTGTTAGCATGAAGCTTTATTTCTGGACTCTCTCTTCTATTGAACTAAATATCTATCCTTATTCTTGGGACAGTACTACACTGTCTTGATTATTTAGCTTTGTAATATGTTTTGGAATTGTGTTTTCAGTTTCAAGTTTTCTTGAAAACTATGTTTTCAAGATTGTTTTTACTATTCTGTGTTGCCTGAATTTCTGTAAGGCTTTAAGATCAACTTTTCAGTTTCTGCAAAAGAGACAGCTTGGGTTTGTTAAGGATTGTGTTGAATCTGTAGATCAATTTTGAGAGTATCTGGAGTAATAACAATATTGAGTCTTCCAATACACTAACAGGAGATGTCTTTACATTTATGTAGATCATTCTTTCAATAATGTAGTTTTAGCTTTCAGTGTATATCTTACACTTCTTTCCATAAAATTATATCTAAACTTTGTATTATTTTTGGTGATGTCATAAAATGGAATTTTTGCCTGACAATTTTGCTTTACTGTGGTCAAATACTCAACACATGAAATTTATTACTTTAAATATTTTTGAGTGTACAGTCAATGGCATTAAGTACATTCACATCTTTGTGCATCTATTATTACCATCAAACTCTAGAACGTTTTCATCCTCCCAAACTGAAACTCAATCCTTTAAACATCGATTTACCAGTCCCCCTTTCTCCAGCCCCAGGCAACTACCTTTCTACTTTGTCCCTATGAATTGACTACTGTAGATACCTCATAAAAGCACAATCATCCAATACTTGTCCTCTTGTGACTGGCTCATTTTAGTTAGCATAAGCTTGTCAAGTTCCATCCATATTGTACTACGTGTCAGAATTTCATTCCTTTTTAAAGCTAAATTTTCCATTGTATGTATATACCACCATATGGGTATACTGTTGATGGACGTTTGAGTGTTTTCACCTTTTGGCTATTGTGAATAATGCTAAGAACATGGGTGTCCAAATATCTGTGAGTCCATGCTTTCAGTGCTTTGGGGTATATACCTAGATGTGTAAATTCAGGATAATATGGTAATTCTATGTTTAATTTTATGAGGAACCACCATACCATTTTCCACACGGGCTGCAGCACTTCTACATTTCCACCAGCAATGCACAGGGGTTCCAATTTCTCCACATTCTCATCAGAACTTGATATCTTCTGAAATTTTTAAATAATAGCCATCCCAATAGGTTTGGATTAGTGTCTAGTTGGAGTTTCGACCTGCAATTCCCTCACAATTAGTGACGCTGAGCAGCTTTGCATGTGCTTATTGTCCATCTATGTATCTTTTTTGAAGAAATGTCTATTCAGGTCTTTTGCCATTTTTAATTGGATTTTCTGTTTCTTTGTAGCTGAGTTGTAGGAATATCTTACATATTCTACATATTAATTTTCATCAGATATATGGTTTGTGAACATTTTCTCTTATTCTGTGGGTTAGCTTTTTCCTTTATCAATAGTGTCCTTTGATGCACAACAGTTTTTAATTATAAAATTCTAATTTATCTACTTTTTTCTTCTGTTGCTTGTGCTTTCAGTGTCATATTCAATAAATCATTTCTAAATCTAATGTTATGAATATTGTCCCCTTTGTTTTCTTCTAAGGATTTTATAGTTTTAGCTCTTGACATTTAAATCCTTGATTCATTTGGAGTTAATTTTTTTTTAAGGTGTAAGTAAGGGTCCAACTTCATTCTTTTGCATATTGATATCCAGTTATCCCAATATTATTTGTTGAAAAGACCGTCCTTTCTCCCCTTGAGTGGTCATGGCATCTAACTGAAAATCATTAGACTGCATATGTGAGAGTTTATTTCTGGACTCCTTATTTTTTCCATTGGCAAATTTCAGTTTTCTAATTTTGTTGCCCAAGTAATGTATCAACTTTCAGGAAGGTACAAAAGAGCCCCTCCAGGGCTCTTGTTTTTAAACTTTATAATGGTGGTGTTGATATTGATCATCCAAATGAAATCTCATACTACAAGTCATCAGAGTGGACGATGCTATCATAATTTTCCTCCAACTGAAGAATCAATGAATGAACAGAATATTTCTAGTAACAAAAAGGAAATATGATATTCTCATCCAGTTAATCATACTTCAGCATGTAATATTTTGTCACAAATACCTAGAACATTCTGTATTGTAAAGAAGATCTAGGATAGTATCTTTTCACCTTTTATTACATTTGGGCATGAACATTTACTTGACATGATTCACAAGTGGACAAATATACATGCAAAGTTGATTGAAAGGAGTTAGATGATGTAGGAGTGATAAACATTGATTAATCATTTTAATTGGTGTTTATAAATATAGAATTAAAATATGTTCTATTATAGTACAACATTATTTACAGTAGCTCTAAAGAAAGTGAAATAACAAATATGAAATAATAAAATGTACAGTATCTGGTGAAAATTACAAAATTATGATGAAGGAAATTAAAGAAGATATGTAAATGGAAAGAAATACTGTGTTCACAGACAGGAAGATTCAACAGTAAATAATAAAAATGTGAAACTTCCTAAATTGATCCATACGTTTAACACAATTTGCATCAAAATCATGACAAAATTTTTTTGTAAACATAGACAAGCATAATGTATATGGAAAGGAGAAACCTTAAAATAGCCAAAACGATTTTGAAAAAGAAGAATGAAATGGGAAGACTCACTTTTCCTGCTGTTCAAGATTACCCTATAACTACAATAATCAAAACAGTGTAGTATTGGTGGAGGGAATGACACATAGATCAATGGAACAGAATAGAGATCTGAGAAATAAATCAACACAAAAATGTCCAATTAATTTTAACAAAGGTGCAAAATCAACACAGTAGACAAAAGACAGCTTTTTCAAAGAATTGTGCTAGAACAATTTGACACCCATAAATTGGAAAATTAATCTCCCACCCTTTATAAAAAGTAACTCAAAATGCATCATGGAATTAAATATAAAACATAAAACTACACCTTTTACAGATATCATAGCAAAAAATTTCAAGACATAAGACTGACAAAGAATTCATATACTTGACACCAAAAGCATAGATCCAAGAAGGAAAAGAAGAGCTTATCAAAATAAGAATTGGAAAAAAAACCCTTTTGGTCTGAGAAAAAACACTTGGAGAGAATATGTTCAAATCACAAATCCCACAAAATAGGTGTTTGTGTGAAAACTCAACATTTAATAAACAATACAATTAGCAAATGGGAAAAAGATATGAACAGACTTTTCACTGAAGTGGATATGCAGGTGCCAAATAAACACATTAAAGATTATCATTATCCATTAGGGAAGTGCAAATTAAAAACACAATGAGATATTAAAACACACCAATAGAATGGCAAAAAAAAAAAATAGTGGTATCTTCAAATGTTGGCAAGGCTGCAAAAAACCCATTCATTTATCACTGGTGGGGATGTCAAACAGTATATAGCCACTCTGCAAAAAGCTTGGCAGTTGCCTTTAAAATTATAAGTGGCTTACCATAGACACAGCAACTGCACTCTCGGCCATGCTTCCCAGAGAATTAAACATTTATCTTCATGCAGAATCTTCCGCACAAATTTTCATTGCAGATCTATTCATAGTAACTAAAACTTGCCATTCACACAATGTCCTTCAATGGGTGAATAATTAAACAAAATATGCTACAGACATACAAAGGAATACTAGTCATCAATACAAAGGAATGAAGTGAGAGGAAAAGACAACCTGAAAAAGATACAAACTACATGGTTCCATTTATATGACATTCATGAAATAACATAATTAGAAAGATGAAGAGCAGTTTAGTGGTTGCCAAAAGTTCGGGAAGGGGAAAGAGAGAATGAGTGTAGCTATATAAAGGAGTAACAATGTCAGGGGCCATGCAGTGATGATGCAGTTCTGTATCTTGATTGCGATGGTGGGTACCCAAACTTGAACATGTGGTGAAATTGCATAGAACTAAATATACGCACATGTGAATGCATACACACACGTATACACAGATAAGTGTATGTATACTGGTGAAATGTGATAAGGTCTGTGTATTTCATCAATGTCCATTTCCTGGTTTTGATATTCTACTGTAGTACTGAAACATGTTAACATTGACTGAAGCTGAGTAAAGTATTTGTAAGACTGCCCTCTAAACGTTTTTGCAACTCTTTATGAGTGTATAATTATTTCAACATAATAAGCTAACTAAAAATAACAGTGGGATATCATTACACATCTAAAGCTGGCCAAAAAAAATCAAACAAAACCACCAAAAATGACAATACCAAATGCTTGTGAAGTGTGGACCACCTGTGCAGAGTAACTGGGACTCTCACAGATGAATGGAGGGAAGGAAAATGGTAAAGCCACTTTGGAAAATAGTTTGGCTGTTTCTTAAAAAATTAAAAATACACTCATTAAAAAAATACACTGAGTAAACAATCCAGCTATCTCACTTATAGGTATTATAGTGAGAACTTATATATAGACAAAAGTGCCTAGGTATTTACCCATCAAAAAGTGAGAACTTAAATACAGACGAAAGCCTATGTGCACGTTTACAGCAGCGTTATTCAAAATTGCCAAAATCTAGAAACGACCCAAATACCCTACAATGTGTGAATGGATAAACAAACTATATAGTTCATCTTTTCAATAGGAGGCTACTTAACAGTAATAAAGAATGAACTATTAAAACATATGCCAATGAGAATGAATCTCAAATGCATGTATGTTGTACAGAACATTCTGGAAAAGGCAAATCTATAGTGACAGAGACCAGGTCACTGGTTGCAAGGAACTGGCAGTGGGAGATGAATACAAAGGGCAGCAGCCACAGGGAGGATCTGAGGCGATGGACCTGTTGTGCATCATGACTGTGGTGGTTGGAACGGAATACATACATTTTTCAATACTCATAGAACTATATACCACAGAGTGAAGGCTACTGTGTGAACATTTTTTAAAAAGCAAAATATTCTTAATAAAAAATAAATATTAAAAAAGAGACAATAATTTTTTCAAAATTTCCAGAAATACATGAACCTATATATTCAAGAATCTCGCCAAACCAAGCAAGATAAATTCAAAGAAATACACATCTTGGTAAACCATAGTGACACTATGGAAAATCAAAGATATAAAGTAAAAGTCCACAACTCAGACAAGGAATGAAAGAAGCATTATATTATTGGGATGAATAATAAGAATGACAGCTGCATTCTCATCACAAAACGGAAGACAGGATACAATGGGATTACATCTTTAAATTGCTGAAAGAAGCAATTCTACTTCTAGTGAAAATACCGTTCACAAATTAAGACATTATGAAAACATTTTAAAGACAAAAGCTGAGACAATTGATCACTACAAGGTACACACAAAAAGAAATACAAAGAGAGTTTTACAGGTTGAAAGGAAATGAACCCACACAGAAATTTGAATGTGCTGGAGGAATTGAAAAGCCCTAGAAAATGGTAAATAGGTTGGGATAAATGTACATATTTACATTAAAATTCTTCAACATTTCATTGGCTATTTTAAGGCAAATACAATGCTCTATTGTCAGGTTTACAACATATACATAAATAAAATAAATAAAAACAGAGGCACAAAACAGAAGCACAAATGATGGAAAGACCTTAATGGAATTACAGTGTTCTGAGAGTTTCACATTGTGAAGTTTAAAAAAGTCAAACATGCTACAGTTGTTCACGAATGTTCACCAAATAAATTAAAAAATGTTTTGTGCCATCTACTATCCATATACTTTGGATGTGGAAGACTTTATTATTTTTACCTTTCAGTAGTAGAGTTAAAACTTGAAAGAGGCAACTCTGCTGTGAACTAGCACATCATAACAGTTAACATCCTTGGAATATACAGACTACATAATAAAACTATCACCTATTCTATCATTTAACTATACCTATCTAGAAATCTCTGTTGTACAAATAGAAAAGTTCTGGAAACCATTGTTAAAATTAAGAGAAGATCTGTTAAAGTGTTCATGTCTAGATTTGAATTTAAACCATATACAAAATTTTGATTGACAATATGATCTAGAGCTGCACTGCCTAATTTAGTAGCTACTAATCACAAGTGACTATTTAAATTTATATTAAATAAAGTGAAATAAGATGGAAACTTTAGTTCCTTGGTTGCACTACCCACATGCTAGGTGCTCAACAGCCACACAGACCGTGGAGGTGTATACTATTCCTCTAAGTGCAGACGGCTCTGTTGGAGCACCGTGATCTGGATACTAACCTGACGTAAGCCAAAACCCGTCATTGATACTTCCTCCTGGTGATGAAGGCATTGGTTCACACTGTGGAGGGGCATATCCAGCATCACAGTGACAGTTATGGAGAGTATTGCAAACCTAAAGCCAAAACCAAATTTTAAAAGTGCGTTTGATGTATATGATAGAAATTAAACACATTATTTGCTATTTTTAGTCAATGTAAATTATTAAAGTACTATAATTTAGTATATTATAGGTAGCTTTTATATTAATGTGGAAAGCAATTCTTAAATTAAAAATTAATATAATAATGTTCATGCAATATCTTTTCAAATGTCCCATAGATTGTCTCTTATTTATCTCTTGTACTTTTAAATAAAAGTATATAGTATTCTGATACAACTGAAATGTCTTATTCTAGAAAGGCATAGGAATTATGAAGCTAGAAATTATAAAATAGTGGGAGTTTAAATATACTATGAATTGTGCTAGTTCAAAAAAATTAGCCATGATAAGAGCCAATTTTTACCAAAAAAAAAAAAAAAATGGGGAAAAACAAAAGGGAGAAGTATTCTTAAGCAGACATAGATAGCAAAATTTATTTGGCTAGAAATAGGAAGGCTAGAAAATATCTATAAATGTGATCTGGTGGGTGAATTGAAAGAAGGGCCAGAAACATTATAGAGAATCTAGAAATAGGTTCGTGAAAAACTTAACAAGAAATTAATTAAAATTAAATAAGAGGAAAGAAACAGAAAAGAAACTGTAAATAATAGGACATGTAAGTGATCTGGGAGAGAAAATATTTTTAAAAGACACACAGGTCACTTTTCTCCTGGATTACTATATAAAATAGGAAGCATCAGTATGGCAGGAGGCACTAACCACACAGTTAAAGCCAAAGACATGCTTGGAAAAACTTACAAAGTTTACAAAATTTCTATAACCTGGTAGATAATTTCACAATGGATGGACAAATAGAAATACAAATGGAAAATGTGACCATACATACTTAAGGACTGTATAATTAATTACTGAAGAAATGCAAGTTAACAATGGATTTAGCATGTTTGAAGAGATTCAAAAGACAGAGAAACTAGTCTGACCAGAATATAAGGAAATATGCTTTTTTTTTTTTTTTTTGGTACGCGGGCCTCTCACTGCTGTGGCCTCTCCCATTGCAGAGCACAGGCTCCGGACGCGCAGGCTCAGCGGCCATGGCTCACGGGCCCAGCCGCTCCATGGCATGTGGGATCCTCCTGGACCAGGGCACGAACCCATGTCCCCTGCATCGGCAGGCGGACTCTCAACCACTGCGCCACCAGGGAAGCCCAGAAATATGCATTTTTATATATGACAGGTCAGATCAAAAACTGGTATAATATTTCTTGAAGACAATATAATATTAATGAAAATTTAAATGGTACATATATTTGGCTCATCAGATTTCACTGCTAACAATTTAAGAAGTCAGATAAATGTGCAAAGGTGAAGGTATAACAGTGTCCACTGTACCATTAGTTACAATAGTTAAGTAAAAATTTAACATTATCTGAAAGTCCATCAGTGGATAACTTCTCAAATATAGTAAGGAAGAGACATGCAGGGAAACACATTGAAGATGTTCAAGGATGAAGCAGATCATAATGAACAAGAAAGTCTGCTGGCATAAAAATATGAGATTATAAGTAATATGTATAATATATATTGTGTGAGTGTTTAAATATTTATCAGTACACATACACTCAATTATAAGCAATATTTTTATGTATGTATAAATGTATATGTGTAATCCTTAATGAGCTCATTTCCAAAATCTCATAATCTTAATCTAACATTATGATAATAGATTGTTTCGTATTGAATTTTAGTACAAAGTTCAAAGCAAATTATTTGCTCATGAAGCCTATATGATCTGACTGAACACATAAATCACATACATACATATGAATAATGCAGTCTGCTTTTCTTATTCGATTTCAATTTTCCAAATATATTTCTACACCCCAAATAATTTTAAGCATTATTATACTGAAAAATGTTATTGACATGAATCAAAATAACTATACTTAGAAAGAGAGTAACCATTATACATACCCCATGTCCATTGCACTTTATTTTGGAGATACAAGTTGCGTCTGCGCTGACGTTGACGTCTGTGCAAGATCCTCTGTTACAAAACTAAAATGTGAAAACAACCACCAACGACAAAAATTTTTAATTTAAAGTCAAGAGTTGAACAATTGTACTTGGTATGAAAATTAGATGCACAAGATATATATACCTCAGTTGAATCTGGATTTCAGATCTGCTCATTCTAATAAAAGAACTTGGAGTCAAATGGTGTGTTGTTACCTTATCAAATACCATATTTTGAGAATCAGAAACCATTTTTTCCCTTGAGGGAGCAGAACTGGGCATTTATCCATATTAATTGGTATAAGTACAAAAATAGCCAACTTGTATTGACTGTTGGTAATGAGCTAGGATCTGTCTTTGCACTTTCTATATATTTTTATAATATATACTCATATTGACCCTGTGAAGGAGATATTTTCATCCTCATTTTATATTTGATGAGAATTAAATGTATACTTTTAAGGTCACAGCACCACTGACTGACAGAACCAATATTCAGTACAAGAACTACTTTACTCACAGAGCCCAATACCAGTGTTCCTGTCATTTTTACATTTTTTTCCCAACTTTAATGACCATATCTCTTATCTTTTGCATTAGGAAAGGTGACCTTGAGAAATTTATTTAATCTTCTTTACCCCAGTTTATCCATCTTTGAGTTTGGAATAATATAACTATCGCAAGGTTATGAAGGTGAAATAGCTTGCTACAGATAAAGGAACAAAAGTGGTGTTTGGCACACAGTAAATGCTCACTAAATATAGGATATTATCTTAATTATTTATTTATTTAACCTGATTTCTATGTAGACTCTATGTTAATATTTGTCTATCCAAATTTCAATTTAATTTGACTATCTTCGGGAGAATCTACTATCTGATGGATTTTCTTAAGTATCTGGTAGAATACCCCCTATCTGATGAATAGTCTAAAAATATCATTATTTTCTATCACCATTGCTAATTAAGGAAAGAACAAATATCAGCTTGTTCACTAACTGAAAGTGCTCTGATAAAGCCAGCAAGGATAACAAAATGTTGGACAAACCAGCATTACCTGTCCACAAAACTATTTTCATTCTAGTGTTCTTAACATTGTCATTGAGGCAATACCAGTCATACTTCCCTGGCTTGTTTTTAGGAGAAAAATAAGCCAGGAAAAGTTAAGAACCATGCTTCTGATATAATTTCTTTCAGCTAAACAGATCGATTTGTAGCTGGCTCTTTTGTAATGACAGGAAAAGCAAAAGATACTATGAAAATACTTAGCCTTGGTCAGTGGTTGGGACAGTGTTTTGAATATTAACTAACACATTAAGGTTTCCCTCTTTAAAAAAGAAACACTAATAGTGTCCCAGAAGAAATCACATCACAGTTCAAAAAAAAAAATCCTTGATATAACTAAAAAAATATTTCCTGAGGAGAAAGTCTTGGGTTATGTGAGCATGTTTTCATACAGTTCTGTGCATAAGAATGGGTAAGGAAAAGACAGTTAATTTTATTTATTCAGTCATTGATTAGCTTAACTATTTTTTGGACAATTACATGCCCCAGACATTTTCTTCAAGTTTGAAATGATTATGTTAAGAAGATATGCTTAATACCCCTCACCTACTTATATGAGCTACAATCAGTTTGATAAACTCCTGTTCTGTCTTCTAAATAAACAATTCAAAGACGCCTTCTATCACAACCAATATTGAGCAAACTTGCATTGCTGGAATAATGCCTATCTTCATGTAATATATTATTCACTTAATATATTACAGTATTAAATTTAGGAGTATAACATTTATAATTTTTATTATAATTGACAAGGAAGACATACTCTTCTTTATTTTGATAGATAAGAAATAAAATCTCTTTTTCTCTCTTTTCTTATCTATCAATTGATAGACTGATTTTTACAAAGGACCCACATTTGATGAGAATGTGGTAAAGAAGGCTTTACTATCTAACCTCTCTGAAAACAACTGAACACTGTAGAATAACAAATGAACATAAAGTATATCCTTGATGACTTTTTAAAATCACCAGAGAATGATTCCAATTCAAATTCACAGACAATAGCCTCAAATTCACAGACTTGGCACTCACAATAGCCCCCCTTTTCCCAATAAATGAGAGTAAAGGAAAATCAGAAAGAGACAATTAGAAGAGGAGAGAGTAAAGGACTTCCTGGGATTTTGAAAGAAAATGAAGGTCACTGTTGGGTGACATGAAGTGAGAAAGCAACCACAGGGAACACAGTGGCAAAGGGGAGAGCCTAGCTGATCAGCCTTACGCTGCTTTAGAGGAGCTGCAGCCTCAGAGTCCTACGGAAAAACAGGAAGAAGAGCTGAAAGGGCAAGATGGGAAAGGGTGGCTAAAATGTGGAACTATCAGTGGAAGTCTGCGCCCAAAACCACAGAACTAGTTAGCTCTCAGTATCCACTACTCACCTCCCCACTTCTCTCAGTTACAGAACACAGTCAACACAACACTTTATCCCAAGGGAGACAATTTAGAAGAGTATTTTGTTTCATAAAGCAATTGAATTAATGGTGACTACAGAATTCGGGCTTGTCCAGTGGTCTGTCCTCCAGAATTGGCACTATCCGATTAAACGACTGGAAGTACCACGGCCTAAAAGCCAGCTTCCAAAACAGAGACTGTCATATTATTAGAGCGGGGCGGGGGGACACAGGCCAAATGGCAGGAAACCATACATCTTGTAAACAGCGGGAGCCCACAGTCAGACAAAAGAAAAGCAGAAACCTCCAGACAGACAGGAAATCACACATTTTGGGGTGATAAATGTCCTGGAAGCAGACAAAGAAAGGTGGGAAAAAGCAGGAATCTCTGGCATCTCAATGCAACCTGTTGTCATTAGGCCCTCATTACAATAAAATTACCTTGCAGATAAGAAGTTCCCATCACGCACTGACTCCATGACACTTCCAATCAAGGCTAAATAAGGACAAAAATCCCTCCTACCCTCGGGAAGGTGGAGCTGGGATAAAAATCAGGGAATTTTGACCCTAAACCCCTCCCTCCCCAGTGAATATTCCACCCGTTCATTTCTACGCCCCACATAACTGGCTTGCCGAAGAACTCAGGGCAGCTACTCTCCTGAGCCTGCCCGCTCTCCCCTTGAGCGCATACTATTGCTTACATAAATCCTTGCTTTGCTTTCTTGACTTCCCTATCTTGTCTCTGAATTCTTGCTGTGATGAGACAAGAACCTACTCCCTGGTAACAATGCGACAAACTTCATTTGCATAGAGAGAGCTGCCAATTAGAATTTTAATTAAAAATGGTGTGGGATAGGGTTTCCCTGGTGGCGCAGTGGTCAAGAGTCCGCCTGCCAATGCAGGGGACATGGGTTCGTGCCCCGGTCCGGGAAGATCCCACATGCCGCGGAGCGGCTGGGCCCGTGAGCCATGGCCGTTGAGCCTGTGCGTCCGGAGCCTGTGCTCTGCAACGGGAGAGGCCACAACAGTGAGAGACCCGCGGTAAAGGTGTGGGATCAAAAAGTCACTGCCAGCTTAAAGCTCCTCCAGACCAAGCAGGAAAAGTCAAAAGTCTTTGTTTTTCCTTCCCTTCCCCTTCTTTCCCGTCCCCCGCCTTTCTCTTTCCTTTTCCTTCCATGGGGACATTGCCCAGTTGGGCATGGGCTAATGACTGGACTTTCCCAGGCAGAGAATCTTGAAGGAGAAATGGATAAACTGTAATGTTTTCAGTGGTCAAACAGGGCTGGTGTGAGAAAGCAGAGGTCTTTTAAATAAGTGACTCATTTTTCAACAGGACATTTGCTGAATTTAAATGTTATGTGGGATGATAGAAGGCTAGTTACCTAGCGTAGCAATTTTCTATTAGTATTTGTATGTCTAGTGCCCATATGGTTTTATTCCAAATGTTAGTGTAATTGTGTTTATCCAGTATATAAGATGCTGCTTCACTCTCACTAATTCTAAGATTAGTTTTATTTGTCGTTAGTTTTCAGAAATTTTATTATGCTGTATCTTACTGGATTTCACTGAGTTCATTCTATATCATGTACATTCAGCTTCTTGCATCTGTGGTTTATGCCTTCTGAAAACCTTCCAGGCATTATTTCCTCTAATACTTTTCCATCCTTAAGTTCTTTCTCTTATTCTTCTAGGATATTAGAATGGCTTTTATCATAAAGACAAGGAATAATAAGTGTTGGCTTAGAAGTGGAGTAAAGGGAACACTTGTTCCTGTTTGTGGGAATGTAAATTGTGTAGCCACTATGAAAAACAGTATAGAGGTTTGTCAAAAAGTTAAAAATGGAACTACCACATGACCCAGCAATTCCACTTGTAGGTATTTATCTGAAGAAAATGAAAACACTAACTCAAAAATATATCTGCATCTTAATGTTCATTTAAGCATTACTTACAATAGCCAAGATGTAGAGGCAACTAAAGTGTCCACCAGTGGATGAATAAAGAAAATATAGTATATATACAAAAATATAGTATATATACACAATGGAATATTTTTCTGCCATAAAAAAATGAAATCTTGCTAGCTGTGACAGCATGGATGGACCTTGAGGGCGTTATGCTAAATGAAGTAAATCAGAGAAATATAAATACTGTATAATATGACTTATATGTGGAATCCTAAGAAGAATAAAAACAAAACAACCCAATCTCACAGATACAGAGTACAGATTGGTGGTTGCCAGGGGTGGGATTTGGGAGGTTAGGCACAAACTTCAAGTTATAAAAATAAATAAGTCATGGGGATGTATGGTGCAGTATGGTAATTACAATTACTAATACTGTTCTCTGTATTTGAAACTTGGTAAGACAGTAAATCTTAAATTTCTCATCATAAGAAAAAAATTATAGCTACATATGGTGACAGATATTAATTAGACTTGTGGTGACCATTTTGAAATATATACAAGTATGAATCATTATGATGTACATGTGAAGCTAGTATAATGTTATATTTCAATAATATAGAAAAATATAGTAACAAATAGTAATAAATTTCAAAAATAGACAAAAAGATGTGATAATATATTTGAATTCTTACATATTTCTAAATCACTTTCCAGAAAGTATGTGCTAATTTATACTTGGTTTAGGATGATAATAAGTTGTGCTTCTCACCATCAATTATTATTTTCAATTCCTAACTGACTGGACGAACACAACTGTTGGATATTCATTTTTATTTCACCAACTTAGAAGCTCCCTGATCTCAGTGTTCCAAGTTTCTCCAGAGTTCAATCTCCAGCCACGCTACTCTCCTTAGTGGAAGTTGTGAGTAGAACTAAAAGTTCCAGTTGGTCTTTCTGGTAACCAGCACCATCCTGAAGCCATCTAGATGCCCCACCCTGTTACTCCATTAGCATAAATTCGGTTTGATCAGAAGGGGCTCATTATGAATAACAACAAAAAAATTCTTATCAGTCAGGAAATTCCAAGGGGTTTAGGATCTTTGTGCCAGAAACCAGGGGCAAAGACAAAATTATTTTTTTGGTGTTATGCCACATATAGAAGCCATTAGAGTGCTTTTTTTCTAATTAATGAATGATTAAATTAGTTAATAAATTTATTTATTTACTTTGCTATACTTTAGTAAACATTTTGGCACTTTTTTTTTACAGTGATATTATTTTCCAAGTGTACCTTTTTTTAAACTTTTTTAAAATTTATTTACATGAATATATGTTGCATTACTATTAAAATTTTAAAAGACAAACATTTTGAAAATCTGAAACAAATTAAATACAATGAAAGAAGCTTATGGAGCTAAATCCATTTGTTTACAAATGACTGGTTATTGTTTAGCAATTTAGATTTTTGAACCATTTCCATTGTGAAATACGGTACACATACAGAAAAATTGCAAGCTAAAAGTGGAAAGCTCAATGGTTTTAACAAAATTCATTTACTCAACCCTCACTCAAAAAACAAAAGGACCTCTGCTATTACCCAAGATGGCAATCCTCCCAGTTCCTCCTTAATCAGTCTTTTCCCTCCTTCTAAAAATAATTACTATCTAAATTATATGGTACTCCATTTCTTTCTTTCCTTTACATATTTAGATCTAAAACATGTATACATAGGCAGTTTTTAACTTCTTTATTGGAGTATAATTGCTTTACAATGGTGTGTTAGTTTCTGCTGTATAACAAAGTGAATCAGCTATACATATACATATATCCCCATATCTCCTCCCCCTTGCGTCTCCCTCCCAAGCTCCCTATCCCATGTCTCTAGGTGGTCACAAAGCACCTAGATGATCTCCCTGTGCTATGCAGCTGCTTCCTACTACCTATCTATTTCACATTTGGTAGTGTATATATGTCCATGCCACTCGCTCACTTCGTTCCAGCTTACCCTCCCCGTGTCCTCAAGTCCATTCTCTACATCTGCGTCTTTATTCCTGTCCTGCCCCTAGGGTCCTCAGAACCTTTTTTTTTTTTAGATTCCATATATATGTGTTAGCATACAGCATTCGTTTTTCTCTTTCCGACTTACTTCACTCTGTATGACAAACTCAAGGTCCATCCACCTCACTACAAATAACTCAGTTTCATTTGTTTGTATGGCTGAGTAATATTCCATTGTATATATGTGCCACATCTTCTTTATCCATTCATCTGTCGATGGATACTTAGGTTGCTTCCATGTCCTGGCTATTGTAAATAGAGCTGCAGTGAACACTTTTCTACATGACTCTTTAGGAATTACGGTTTTCTCAAGGTATATGCCCCATAGTGGGATTGCTGGCTGGTATGGTAGTTCTATTTTTAGTTTTTTAAGGAACATCCATACTGTTCTCCATAGTGGCTGTATCAATTTACATTCCCACCAACAGTGCAAGAGGGTTCCCTTTTCTCCACACCCTCTCCAGCATTTATTGTTTGTAGACATTTTTTTTGTGTGTGTGTGGTACACGGGCCTCTCACTGCTGTGGCCTCTCCCATTGCGGAGCACAGGCTCCAGACACGCAGGCTCAGTGGCCATGGCTCATGGGCCCAGCCGCTCCGCGGCAATGTGGAATCCTCCCAGACCCGGGCACGAACCCGCATCCCCTGCATCGGCAGGTGGACTCTCAACCACTGCGCCACCAGGGAAGCCCTGTTTGTAGACTTTTTGATGATGGCCATTCTGACTGGTGTGAGGTGATACCTCATTGTAGATTTGATTTGCATTTCTCTAATGATTAGTGATGTTGAGCATCCTTTCATGTGTTTGTTGACAATCTGTATATCTTCTTTGGAGAAATGTCTATTTAGGTCTTCTGCCCATTTTTGGATTGGGTTGTTTGTATTTTTGATATTGAGCTGCATGAGCTGCTTGTATATTTTGGAGATTAATCCTTTGTCAATTGCTTCATTTGCAAATATTTTCTCCCATTTGGAGGGTTGTCTTTTCGTCTTGTTTATGTTCTCCTTTGCTGGGCAAAACCTTTTAAGTTTCATTAGATCCCATTTGTTTATTTTTGCTTTTATTTCCATTTCTCTAGGAGGTGGGTCAAAAAGGATCTTGCTGTGATTTATGTCATAGAGTGTTCTATGTTTTCCTCTAAGAGTTCTATAGTGTCTGGCCTTACATTTAGGTCTTTAATCCATTTTGAGTTTATTTTTGTGTATGGTGTTAGGGAGTGTTCTAATTTCATTCTTTTACATGTAGCTGTCCAGTTTTCCCAGCACCACTCATTGAAGAGGCTGTCTTTTCTCCATTGTATATTCTTGCCTCCTTTGTCAAAAATAAGGTGACCATATGTGAGTGGGTTTATCTCTGGGCTTTCTATCCTGTTCCATTGATCTATATTTCTGTTTTTGTGGCACTTAATTTTAAATGATCTTCAAAGGGATGACATATTACTTTATAATGTAGTCAGCACCAGTATGTTACTTTGTGATTACTTCATTATTTTTATGTGAGAATATCTCTTCCCATTCTGAGATAAGTTTACTATTCACTTCCATTTTTCTCTTATTTTTTCTTTTCTTAAAATATTATACCTCCATTTAAATTATTTAAATTTAAATGTGAGATAATTGTGTACTGTTTTACATTAGTCAACTAAATTTTCAATGGTACTAGTTTAAAATCATCTGTTATGTTTCTTCAAATGTTTAACAAAAAGAAAAACAAACAAAGCTTAAACTCTGTTTTATTCTTGTGTCTTGAGAAAGGGCAAATTGTTAACAAGTATATTGTGCTTTTGGAAAAAGAATTAGGGAAGTAGGCTAATGAGCAAATCAATATTTTAGTTTTATTACAATCAAATTAATTCTCTTTGTTGTGCTTATTATTCAGGATTGTCTGACCTGCTTTTGGGGTGTATTATTTGATTCTTTTCTCTTCCTTGTTTTACACAAATTATTGCTGGCCTAACAAAGAGGTTAAGTAAGATACTCAAGTGTGAGTACACAACTTTAAATATCTACAGTAAAATTCATAATGAAAAATGACAAAAAGTAAAGCAAGTGTTCCTTTGATCAATAGAAATTTTGACCTTTAAGGCTTAAGATCACGACGCAGTAACCAAAATTGGTAACAATTACAACTTAAAAATCTTAAGTGCCCTCTCTCTCTCTCATACACAAACACACATACACAGACACTAAGACGCTCACACACCACGTATAGAACCATGAAGAATTTGTGTTTACCTGATTTGGACCACACATAGTGCCACTCTTTACATAGGTATAATCATCTCGGAAGGTTACTGGTGTCAAATTTCTTAGATGTGCACTTAGACACACAATGCCTCCAAGGAAAGTATATTGAGTATCAAAAATTTTAAATGGCACTACTTCTGTACGTGTCCAGAGACAAACTAACTTTCCACAATAGATATCCCTGTAATATAACACAGAAAAAATTACCCATATGTCACTTAGCGACACAATATATTGTTTAAATAACAGTTCAAAACATGAGGATAATTCACAATGTTATTCAGAGCATAACACCAAAGCTATTCAGAACATACACCATCTTACTGGTGTGAGGTGATACCTCACTGTAGTTTCGATCTGCATTTCTCTAATGATTAGTGATGTTGAGCATCCTTTCATGTGTTTGTTGGCAATCTGTATATCTTCTTTGGAGAAATGTCTATTCAGGTCTTCTGCCCATTTTTGGATTGGGTTATTTGTTTTTTTGATATTGAGCTGCATGAGCTGCTTGTAAATTTTGGAGATTAATCCTTTGTCAGTTGCTTCATTTGCAAATATTTCTTCCCATTCAGAGGGTTCTCTTTTTGTCTTATGTTTTCCTTTGCTGTGGAAAAGCTTTTAAGTTTCATTAAGTCCCATTTGTTTATTTTTGTTTTTATTTCCATTTCTCTAGGAGGTGGGTCAAAAAGGATCTTGCTGTGATTTATGTCATAGAGTGTTCTGCCTATGTTTTCCTCTAAGAGTTTTATAGTGCCTGGTCTTACATTTAGGTCTTTAATCCATTTTGAGTTTATTTTTGTGTATGATGTTAGGGAGTGTTCTAATTTCACTCTTTTACATGTAGCTGTCCAGTTTTCCCAGCACCACTTATTGAAGAGGCTGTCTTTTCTCCATTGTATATTCTTGCCTCCTTTATCAAAAATAAGGTGACAATATCACCTCAAACCAGTCAAAGTAGCCATCTGCAAAAAATCTACAAACAATAAATGCTGGAGAGGGTGTGCAGAAAAGGGAATCCTCTTGCACTGTTGGTGGGAATGTAAATTGATACAGCCACTATGGAGAACAGTATGGAGGTTCCTTAAAAAACTAAAAATAGAACTACCATACCACCCAGCAATCCCACTATGGGGCATATACCCTGAGAAAACCATAATTCCAAAAGAGTCATGTAGAAAAGTGTTCACTGCAGCTCTATTTACAATATCCAGGACATGGAACCAACCTAAATGTCCATTGACAGATGAATGGATAAAGAAGATGTGGCACATATATACAATGGAATATTACTCAGCCATACAAAGAAATGAAACTGAGTTATTTGTAGTGAGGTGGATGGACCTAGAGTCTGTCATACAGAGTGAAGTAAGTCAGAAAGAGAAAAACAAATACCGCATGCTAACACATATACATGCAATCTAAAAAAAAAAATGGCTCTGAAGACCCTAAGGGCAGGACAGGAATAAAGATGCAGATGTAGAGAATGGACTTGAGGACACGGGGAGGTGAAAGGGTAAGCTGGGACGAAGTGAGAGAGTGGCATGGACATATATACACTACCAAATGTAAAACAGATATGTAGTGGGAAGCAGCTGCATAGCATAGGGAGATCAGCTCGGTGCTTTTTCACCACCTAAAGGGGTGGGATAGGGAGGATGGGAGGGAGACGCAAGAGGGAGGATATATGGGGATATATGTATATGTATAGCTGATTCATTTTGTTTTAAAGCAGAAACTAACACACCATTGTAAAGCAATTATACTCCAATAAAGATGTTAAAAAAAATTTTTTTAAAAAGAACATACACCATCTTACGAAGTGCACCATATAAATTTATCTTTATATACTATATTCATCTCTCATTTGTATTAAGTGATTCTTTGCAGTACACACACATATACATACAGTGCATTTGGAAAATGTATATTTTTCTAAATACGCACCGATAATTACAAAAACGACCCTAACAGTTTCCAAAGTCATCTGTATGCATATTCACTTCTTGTGAACATAGAGCAGAAGCCCCCTTCGAAACTGAAAATATAAATAAAGTTTCAATTACTCATCTTAAAAATTAAAAATTAAAAGCATGGCAAATTTATACAAAGGCATTTAGACAACAAAGCCTAGGCAGTGTCATCTACTATAAATATTGGGTGCCATCTACTGGCTATATATGAAGGAGAAACACTTAACTAAAAACTACCTACTCGAGAATAGAAATTGTTATTATCATCCATAAATGATTAAGAAGTAAAACAATCCTTTGCTCACTTATCTGCAATTCTAATAGTCTACTCCATTTCCACCAATCACCTGAAACTTGACTAATATCCTATTCTTTTTGTCTCGTACTCACTAGATCTATTCTACCTCCTGACATAGGTCAAAGGTGCTTTGTTTTGCAGTTTTATCTCCAAATTTAGATTTAAGCAATAATTATTATTATGGCTATAGGGTGTATTACTGACTTAAGAAACAAATATAGTTTAAAAATAAACCTCAGAAAAAAAATACAACCATTACATTTTCCAAACAACTCTGCACACTGTTTATCTGTATCTTGGCATACTCCTTGAGAGCAAAAGGCAGTCTTATTATTGCACAGTTCTAAATCAGCAGATTTCATATCAGGTACACAAAACTCAGCTATCCCATTGCAAAATTCTGGAAAATCACACATATCCGTGCTTTTCCTACATACATGTCCTCTTTCAGCTATCTGTGAGACAAAGAAAACCAAATATTTGTTCTTAAAGTAGTAAAACAAAATATACAAATTTAAATAGGAGGATTGTATTTGTAACTATCATTTCCATTATTAATACATTTGTAAGTATTTAAAGTTAAATTATGAATTTACTTAAAAGTTCTGGTGGAATAGATCAGAAAGAAGCCAAATGTCCATCAATGGATAAACAAGTTGTCCTATGGACAATGGAATATGTTCAGCCACATAAAGGAATAGAGTACTGGTTTATGCTACAAGGTGATTGAAACTTCAGAACACTGTATTTAGTGAAGAAAACCAGACACAAAGGTCACACATTGTATGGTTCTACCTATATGAAATGTCCAGAGTAGGTAAATCCATAGAGGCAGAATGCAGATGGCTGGTTGCCAGGGACTGAGGGGAAGGGAGAAAGGAAGGCAAGTGCATAATGGGTCAGGATCTCTCTGTTTGGATGAGGAACCTGCTATGGAACCAGGTCGAGGTGGTTGCACCACATTGTGAACGCACTAAATGCTACTGAATTGTTCACTTGAAAACGGTTAATTCTTTATTGTGCGATTTGCGCTTCAATTTAAAACAATGGCTCTGGTGAAAGTTCTCATAGTTAAAATGCTCTGGTTATCCTGAATATTTACTTCAAGATAAATAGAAAATATTTGATATAAAACTACGTGTATTTGTTTTCCAGCTTTTGATTCTTGGTGACTAATTAGTTGCACTCCTGAGATGTTTTAACTAACTCAGATGCCAGTCTTTGCCATGTTTCTAAAATGTTTCTTAATGGACATCTTTATCCTTCTTGCATTTCAAGTAATTTTCCTTTCAGGACTAACTCCACTTCCACCATGAGGAGCTTATAGCTGACATGAAACTGCTGCTGACTCAGGATGATAATCAGAACCCTTCTCCCTAGACACAGTGGTGGGAATTTAACTTAGAACGTAGTGGTGGGTCAGGGTTTCTGCCTCTACCAGGGGTGGAGATGAATGTTGGGAAACAGAGGATCCCTCTGCTCTTCTGAAACATCACACACTATGGACTAGAAAAGCCAGGAACTTCAATGAGCTATCTGTACTGCCTACAGGAAAAGTGTGTTTGAGAACTGCCAACAAAAAGGCAAGGATATCCAACAGATGTAGAATAAGAATCCTGTTGCTCCTGTTCCAAACAAAGATTCACCTGAGCACAAAGCTAGACTCATGCCTTACTTAAGCTTCATAAGTGTTTGTTATTCTTTGCTTGGCTGTTGATCAAGATACAACTGACCCATAATAACTGGTGTTATGCAGTACCAATCACAGTTTCTTAAATTTCATATAGGAATGTCTGGGTACTGGCTAAAAACATATTAACCACTGTTATGTGTCAGAAAAACAGCTGGTTAGACTATTGGTCTTCCATGTCTTTGCACTTGGACTTGTGTCCATCTAAAATGAAAATTTATAAGAAAAAACTGGATCAGATCACTAAATTGCAGACAGAAGTCAGTGGAAACTAGCCTAAATGGCAGTGGACAGAGAAGAAAATGGAAAGCCTTTTAAGCTTATGGCCACCCGTAAGAGAGCAGAGTGTAAGGCACCTGTGAGCCTTTAAATGACAGCAAAAGCCAAATTCTATGCTATAATACATAATAAAATTAATGTGAACTAACATAGGACATTTAGCTGTTACCCTGAAGCCCTCCCTAGTAACTTATACTATGAATTTTCATTCGACCAAATGTAGCAATTACCTCTGTTGTAAAGAATTATCCTTTGAGATGTAGGCAGAGGGCAATGGACTGTTTAGAAAAGTCTGACTGCTCATTTCCACTGATTTGGAGACAAAGACTAAGATGAGAGCTCTGGTGAAGGAAAGGGCAGCAAGGTTTATTGCTAAGAAGTGGAAACCCTAGGCTGGCCTCTACATTCATGTGCCTTGAAACAAATGACCGTTGACTTTAAAAACTAGCCCACTGGGTGAAAAAGAACATGCATAGAGCAAAGTAAAATAATGTTAGGAGAGATTTCATGGACAAAGAAAAAACAAACTTGGCAGCAAAACCTCTCATTAATCAGTCTTTATGTTTGTCATAGACCCCTGAAAGTGACACAAAAACGGTGAGTCACTAAAATGAAGCAATCCCTAGAACAGAGATTTTACCCAGTCTCCTATCAGATGTGGCTATGAAGGAAAATTGAATGGAAAACTTCCCAAGGGAAGTCAAGGGTTCAGTCAGTCACTTCCAGGGTCTTGCCAAAGCTAATCTTCACTATTAGATATGCTACATATTGCTGACTATTCTATATGGATTCCTTTTCTGCTACGTTCAAAATGAGGCATTTTAATTATTATTGTCTGTTTATTCAAATATTGCATGTCAAGTGTGTGTTGGGTGGCTTATTCATAATTTTGTCATAAGTTGTTCAATCATGACGAGCTACATTCAGGCACGACCAAGAGGAACTCATAGCATCCAAATTATCTGGAGTTGTTATTAAATGCAATAAGAGGATGGGTCTTGAGCAGAGATTGAAACAATACAGTAAGAGGCAGCACTACGAAAGAGGTTGAAAAAGATCTAAGGACCTTCTCTCAGTTCTGAAATCAACTGTGTATGAATCGAGTACATAAAGTAATATAATTTGAAACATGAGTAAAAATAAAAGCAGAAAAAAAAAGCTACAAAACGCACCCAAAAGAACATAAAAATTTCATGAAAGAAAATAAGGCAATATTTTGAAAACTTACCTGACAAGTTTTTCTGTCACAGCATGGTCCTGTACCACACTCTGCATCTCCAATCAGAGAACATGTTACAGCATCACAGCATTTTTTATGAGAGCATTGCTAAAAAGCAAATGCAATCAATTTAAATAAAAGGAATTTTCAATAAAATAAATCATTTTATTTATTGTCATAATATACTAAAGTATGTCTCTAAGTTAATTACAATCACAATTTTTACTTCTGTATCTACTTTTAACACCACTTAATATATATATCTAAACATAATATATTTTGATATAGAAAAAAAAGATGGCAATGAAATTATTCATGGTTCCATGCTCAAGAATTTGAACTGTTAAAAATGTAATGCAATTTATTTCAATCTTTGTGTTCATAAATATAGGAATTGTAAATTTTGAGATTTTTTTCACTTACTACATCTTGAGTGGTTACCCATCTTATCAAGTCTCTTCAAGATATCATTCTGTGAATATATAATAATTTTTGGATGTGACAAAATAGAGTTTCTAAATTACAACAGCATATTATCGTTGTAAATGACATTTCAAAGAAAATTTGTCATTTTTTAGCTCTAAGATTGTATATGAAAGATTGATTCTAGAAGTTATTAGGTCAAAGAATTTAAAAATATTAAAGGCTCTTCATAATATACACTATTTCCTTCTTTCTATATAGTTATCTATTCAGTGTAAGAGTGATGTTAAATAAGACTGATAATATTTTAAAATAAGTAAAGCTGTGACAAAGTGAGAGAGTGGCATGGACATATATACACTACCAGACGTAAGGTAGATAGCTAGTGGGAAGCAGCCGCATAGCACAGGGAGATCAGCTCGGTGCTTTGTGACCACCTAGAGGGGTGGGATAGGGAGTGTGGGAGGGAGGGAGACACAAGAGGGAAGAGATATGGGAACATATGTATATGTATAACTGATTCACTTTGTTATAAAGCAGAAACTAACACACCATTGTAAAGCAATTATACTCCAATAAAGATGTAAAAAAAAAAAATGACATTTTTCTTGGCCTATGGAAATAAAAAAAAAATAAGTAAAGTGGATAGGAACAAATTACTAAGTGTTTATATCTGTTTCAATTTTATTAGTTTTATTATTAATGTGCTGAACATTTTACATATCTGCACAATCTGATTTATACTTTTATGCATACTTTTTGTTGAAGTAGTCTTCTGTTTATTTCCTTTATTTGTAAGCACTTTTATATTAATGACGTTAACCCCTAGCCACTAATATATTTTACAGTGTTTTACAATTTGTCATGACAGTTTATTTCTATTTTGGCAGTTGTTTTTTTTTTAGTTTTTTGTTATTATGATATTGTGAAATCTGACAACTGCCAACTTTCTTTGGTATTTGTTCTAAAAGTTTATGTATAAAACTTTCCTCCACCCTAACCCCAGTAAATATGTGAAGGTACAGTGTGTGTGTAAAAGTTTTGTGTTATATATATACATATATGTGTGTATATATGTATTTTTATTTGACATTAAATATTTTGAATAGTATGTTGTAAAAGTAACTATAATAATGTATCTTTTCCCCCCAAAATTAAATTATCAGTTGTGTTTATAGAATAATAAGTTATTCCTGATAGTTTATTATACCTGGATACTCATATAATGTCCTATATAAAATTAAATATAATGTCTTCAATTACATTAATTGCATATTATTAAAGTATATCCCAAACTCTATTACTATATAACACTTTGTAATATTTACAGGAATCAGATGATATTCTTTCTTCTTTAATTTTCATGTTTCATTATTAAGAAGAATGTGTTATGTTTCACAATATAAATATTTTAATGAAAACTATCAAGAGAATTTAGTGAAGATGGAAGATTAAACACACAGTGAACATTAACATTGGGGAAAATAAAACAAAAATCAATGACGTGAAAGGGAAATCTCTAACACCTAGAATCAAAGAGAAAGCCTACTACAGTGCAAAACATATTTGGACAATACTCAATGTATAATGGAAACCTAGACTAAATACCAGGCTTAGAAATTGGCCTTTTATGACATGTAGTTTAAAAATGGAATTCCATCATGGGACTGGAAGTGAGGACTTTGTAACATAGGTAACTGTGGTTTATCATTGAGAAATTTGAGAAATCAAAGAACATTCTTTTACTCCTAGTTGTCCAAACATTTTATCAAATGTTTCTTCAATATTTAATATCTTGTAATTTTTATCTCTTTGTTACTTTAATGATATATGTTGAAAAATACTGAAACATTTCTCTATTTCTGGAATAAACACCATAAGCATCCTCTTTTTCAGGTATTTACTGGTTATTTGATAATTTTGACTTAGGCATTTTGCAGGTATTTTCCAAAATATAAACCAGTCATTCAAAGTAATGCTAAGCTGACTACAGGAGGAATCAACAACTTTCATTATTTAATTTTATTTCTATATACTTGCAAAGTGCACTGAAAATTGATTTTTAAAAAAAAAATATGCAATTTACAATAATATCCAAAAACATGAACTACTTAGGGTTAAATTTAAGTAATTACAGACACCTAAATAAATGGAACAATATACCATGTTCATGGTTTGAAAAACACATTATGTATACTATTCAATTCTCCATAAATTCATCTTTAGATTTTTTAAAAAATTTCAAGAGTTTTTTTTTTTTTTTTAGGGGGTGGGTAGAAATGGAAAAGTTGATTTAAAATTTTATATAGAAATATAAAGACCTAAAATAGCCAAATCTATCTTGAGAAAGAAGTAACCAAACATGAAGATATATTTTACCTGATTTTGTGCATTAGGATAAGGAGACCTGGTACTGGATAGATATGTAGATTATTGGAACACAAAGTATGTCATGAATTGTTTTTCAGTAAATGTACCAAGGTAATTCAATGGGGGAAGGACAGTCTCTTCAACAAATGGGTCTAGAACAATTGAATATCTTGAGAAAAATATACCTTGATCCTTAACTTACAAAGTGCCACAAATTACTCAAAATGGATCATACACATACACATAAAAACTAAAATTTGTAGACTTCTAGAAGAACATTTACAAGGAAGCTTCACAAATTTAGGATAGATAGGCTACAAGTAGCATAATATATCAAAGAAGAAAATTATAAACTGGACTTCATCAAATTAAAAACTTTGACTCTTTGAAAGATGTCATTAAGAAAACACAAAGCTAAGCCACATACTGGGAGAAAACCTGGCAAAGGCTTGTGTATAGTTTATATTAAGAATTCCTGTAAGTATATAATAAAAAGACAAACAACCCCATTAAACTTTGCAAAATATTTGAACAGACATTTTAAAAAGGAAACATATGAATGCCCAATAATCACATGAAATACTGTCCCATATAATTAGTCATCAGGAAAATACAAACTAAAACTGCAATGAGATACCAGCACAAACTGAAATGACTAAAATGAAAAAGACTGGCAGTAACAAAAGTGGTGAGGATTCAGAACAACCGCCACTGTTATACATAGATGGATGGAATGCACAATATTACAACCATTTTGGAAAGCATTTTGACACTTTGTTACAAACTTAATAGTACAATGAATGTGTTGTGACAGAAATTAGAAGTTTAGATATTTATGGGATTGACTTGGATGAGGTAAGGGAAAACTGTCTGTGGTAATGTAAACATTCTACATATTTTCCACATTTAATCAGGTGTAGCATCACTCAAATTCAAAAACTCAGCAAGTCAGAAAGAAAATATAAATAAGTAAAATGAAGGCCACCTAAACACATCATGAGTCTCTGTGCAGACAAGAAAAGACAAGGTCACAATGCCTTTGTGGATATAAAGGCAGATAGGTCCTGTGGATCATCTGGCCAGGTATGGTATGCAGAAGCAGACTTGTTCAGTAAGGTCTTCAGTGACAGTGAGGGCAAATGGTTTTTGACCACTGTTGTTGAGACCCCTGAAAGGTTCCATCAGTGGGAAGTGATGGTCTTGCGACACGAAACAAAGTTTATTGGGCTTGCTGTTCACCCACCTATACTTTCAAGAAAATAAAAACTACTTCCCTTCTGCTGGTGGCCATAACTATAGATAGAAAAGTCCTGGTGATCAAGACCGGTTTAGTCACTCCAAAATTTACTGAGATATGTTCTTACAATGAGTAAGAAAAGAAAGAAATTAGAGATGTGCTTAGGCAAAAGCCTGGTGAAGTCATAAAGTCTCATCCAAATAGCATATTATGGATCGATGTAAGTTTTGCTGGATATGAAGGCTTCAAAGTCACTCAGTCACTTTCAGAACCAACCTCATGCTCTAAGCACCACTGGTCAATGAACACACTGTCTAATGACATGGATGTGGAGAAAGAGAATGTAAAGACCTATCGGGGCTTACTGCAGTAGGTCTTGTTAAAAGATAACCTGAGGCATATTAAAACTTTTAAGAGTTTATTTGAGCAAAAACTGATTCAAAATGGGCAGCATCCAATTTAACAGTTAGAAAGACGCTCCACAGGACTTCCCTGGTGGTCCAGTGGTTAAGACTCTGCACTTCCACTGCAGGAGGCACGGGTTTGATCCCTGGTCAAGGGACTAAGATCCTGCATGCCACACGGCATGGTCAGAAAAGAAAAAAAAAGTAAAAAAAAAAAAAAAAAGAAAGAAACTCTTAAGAGCTGTAAAATATGGAAGACTTTTATAGGCAGAAGGGAGTGGGAACAAGGAAGTTATACTGGCAAAAAGGTGGGCTGATTATTGCAAAGTTACTTTCCTTTAGGGGATGGCAGGGGTCTATCAGGCAGATTACCTAACTAGTGCTGGCCAGGTGATTCCTGATTGACTGGTTTAAGATTCCATTTCTGGAAGAGCCAAAAGTGTAGTTAAGGTAAATCTCTCAATTTGGTGATGTGAGGTTTAGCATAAGGGACTCCATTTGGGGCCTGGTGTCTTGTTTTCGTTTTTTTTTTTTTTTTTTAAAATTAATTAATTAATTAATTAATTTTTGCTGTGTTGGGTCTTCGTTTCTGTGCGAGGGCTTTCTCTAGTTGCGGCAAGCGGGGGCCACTCTTCATCGCGGTGTGCGGGCCTCTCACTGTCGCGGTCTCTCTT